GGTAAATTCAGTACGCTTCTCCAGCACCACAGCTCAAAGGCATCAATTGTCCTTCTGTCATCCCTAGTCATTGTCCAGCTTTCTGACGCATATCACATAATTGCAAAGACTGTGGCCTGGATAAGGCTCACCTTTGTCTCCAGACTGACATCGTTGCTCTTCAGTACTCTGGAGACATCCCTTACAGCAATTTCCCAATGTAATTCATCTTTTGATTTCCTGGCTGCTGGTACCAACAGTGTTGATTGTGGAGCCAAGAAAACAAAAGCTGTTAACAGTCTCAATCTCTTCACCATCAATCATAATGAAAGCAAGCTCTCCCTATTTCTCTTTCTGTGTCTTCTCACATATAGCCGTGCTGAGAGTAGGAAACCAAGCATTCTAACGAAAAATTTTTTAAAAAGAATCATCAGAAAGGCAGAATCTCCCTCTCGCCTCTGAGACCCCCTCGTCTGCCTTGGTTCAAGGCCTCAAGTTTGTCCAGGGCTGGTCTGGAAGTTGCTCGTTTCCACAAAACAATAAAGCCACAAGAAACTTCCAAGAGGATGGCCTTAGGACCCTGCCATTCACAGTGGAGCGTGTAGACCAGCAGCCTCAGTGTCTCCTTAGGAGCTTTAGAAAAAAGTCTCTCAAGTCCCACTCTAGACTTGCTTTTTAACAAGACACCCAGGGGAGCCATGTGCAAGAGCTCTGTCCTCCCTTCTGGACAGGTACACGATCCCGTTGCTCAGATCCCAGTGAGTGACCAGTGTTGGGATGTGAAGGCTGCCTCAGCCTCACCTCCATCTCTTAAGCCCGGTTCTACCGTCACCTACAGCTCTTGTAAAGATTCAAGGGCCTTTGCCCCCACACCGTCTTTTCTCTCATGAGAGCACTACCTCTTTGAACACCTGTGCCTCAGCACATATCTGAATGGACGCTAAGTGGAAGCCAGCAGTGCCCACGTCTTCATTCATTAATGTACCTGATCTGGAGACCCGGGAACGGGCACTTTTGGCTAGGTATCCTCGACGCTTTAAAAGGACAGAATCATTTGTGTATCCTGAGACCCTGTCGTAACCATCTGGTACCTGAAGCCCTTTCTTTTTTTCTTTTTCTTTTTATCTTGGCCAGGTGCTTTCCTCACTAGGCTGAGCCTAATTGTAGGAAATTGTCATTCATTTACCACAAAAGCAGTCCCAAGGCTCAGCTAGCTGGACTGGTTAACGTTATGTCTGATCTCCTCCACAACCCATCGAGTCGGCTGTAACTCACAGCAACCTTGTGTACAGCCAAAGAAAACCCTGTCAGGTCCTGCACCATCCTCACAGCCTCTCCTGTGCTCAAGCCGGTGGCTGTAGACACTGTGTCAGTCAATGAGAGGAAGTTCCAGAAGATGAACTGGGCCTGCTTTCCATGGCAGAACCGTGCCAAGCTGGGTTCCGTGTCAGATCCACTTACACCCGTCACACCTAGTGGAGACCCTGAAGCAGGCAGCTGGCTGGAGAAGAGGAATGGCAGGCCAGGCTGCTGGGGGACCATCTAACAGAATGTGGAGGCAGAGGCCAGGGTCCCAGGTTTGCTGGAGACGTCTGGGTTTCCTGTGCCTTTGACACACTGTCCCCACGAGGTGGCAGCACTGCACCAGCGCGGTTTGGACTCAGCCCTGGAGGTGCCACTGACCTGCCCTGTGACAGACGGCATCTCCTCTCTACTAAATGAAGATTCATTTAGTGACCCTTAACATGGTAACAGTGGAACTCCTTTTAAAGAGCAAAAGTCGTCTTTTTCAACTGAATTCTTAGAGGGTATCCATAAATGTAACACAGATTAAGGGAGATTGGTTCTGTTTGGAGCCAAATGGTGAAGACTTGACCTCATGTTACTATTAATCCCATTCCCCACTCATGATCAGGGTCGACCAGCAGCCCCCAGTTGTCAGAGTTGACACACCACTAAACTGAACTGCAGAGACTTCCACCTCCACTCAATAGTAAAGCATCAATGTTCTTCCTCCCTCTTCGAGGACAGTTTATCAGAAGACTGCTAAAATTGTTAGGTGCCGTCAGGTCGGCTATGCGTCATAGGAACCCCTTTGGACAACACATACAAGCCTTGCCCTGTCCTGAACCATCCTTCAGATCTCTCATACACTCAAGGCCATTGTGGTCATCATTGGATCAGTCCGGCTTATTAAGGGTCTTCCTCTCATTCTCTGACCCTTGACCTTTCCCAGCATCCTTGCCTCTAAGGAACATCCTGGTTGCCCTTCCGCCAAGACGGATTTGTTTGTTCTTTTGGCAGCCCAAGGGGTATGCAGTACTGTCCTCCAACACCACAGTTCAAAAAAGCAGATACCACCTGGGCTTCTAAGAGAGGAGGAGGGAGGGGCACAGATCAGCCACTGGCTTGTGGTAACGTACTTGGTCACCTTCACCCGTTTACTGAGACCATTTAAGTCCTGGTTACTTCTCGCCTGACTCTCTGCCTCTTCTGTAGCCATGAGATTCTGTAAAATTTAAATGAGGAGGTAATGGTGTGACAGCTAGTCCTTTCTAGCAGGATGAGATTTACTTGGCCCTAGTGCTTTAGAGTTGAATCGCCAACCAAAGTTCTGTAGTTCAAAGTGGGAACAGCCCAGACTTCTAAGCACAAGGGACAAAGCTGACACCAAGAACTGTGTCCTCTGCTTCACTTGCCTGTAAAGTAACTCTCCTTTGCCCCATTGCTCCAGGAGGCTGGCTTGTGAATGTTTAAAACCATTAGGATGAAACTAATAAAAAGTAGAGCTGCTTTCCCTTAAAAGGGGGGTGGTGGTGCTTTGAGGATCACAGGTCATCCGACTTTGTCTGAACAGACATTAAGCAGCACATACCTGTATATACTTTTGTTTTATTATTAATGACTTGTTAATTCACTTTTAAATTCAAGTAAGTTCATAACCAGAACTCAGTAAAAGAGATTGAACATTGATACTTTACAAAAAATATAACAAATTTCACTCAATAATTTGTAGGAAAATTGTCAAATGAGGACCTAATTTGTGTGTAAACTTTCACCAAAAAACACACACACACACACAAAACAAACCCACAATAAAATATTACTTTAAAGAACATGAGGGGACGTTCTGTACCTTGAACTTTACAGCTACTTTATGAGAGATAAAGGAGACAGTCCGTTCCTGTTAAAGTTTATAGCCTTGGTAATCCCGTAAGAGGTCACCCTGAGTCAGAATCTACTTTATGGCAGCAAGCTTGGTTTTTAAGACAAATTTGTTGCTGTCGAGCAGACTCTGTCAAGCATTTGCTTGCTGGGTCGGATTTTTTAATAGTATGTGTTTCATAAAATGGCTTGCCTCCTTAAACTCTATGAACTTGGAGAAACGATGAAAGTTATACAAGTGTTCAGGTCTTTCCTTCATAGGGTCGTTATGAGTCGTCTACGACTAGACGGCACTTAACATGTGTTTAATAGTAGTTAATAAGAACCTTAAAATCAAAGTAAGATTTCTGTTATTAACTTTTCTGTTGAGTAGTAGAAAAATCCATCAAAGAGAAGCTATAAAGAGGAACTTTAGAACTGTGAAATGCGGTAACACAAATTCACAGGGTTGGCTAAATGGAAGATTGGAGGGAGGTGACAGGGTCAAATCAGTGACCGTGAAGGCAGAATAGTAAAAACAGGACAACAGGGAGAAAATATTTTTTTTAAATAAGAACCAAGTGGTCTGTGGGGGAGGGGTGGGGAGAGGGAGAAGGAAATATGCCATTGGAATTTGGATAGGACAAATCATATGAGATGGAAAAAATATTCAAAGAAATAATGGTTGTTTCCCCAATAATGGAAAGTTTCTCAAATGTGATGAAAGGCATAAACTTAGAGGTTCAAGATAGTTGTTACTGGGCTGTGGAGTTGAAGCAGACTCATCGCTGACCTTCCCATGGGTTTTCAGAGGCTGTAAATCATGTTGGAGGAGTTTGCCTGTCTTTATCCTGAGGAGCCGTTGGTGGGTTTGAACCACGTGCTTTTGCGTTGGCAGCACAAGGCCTTACTGGAAGCTACCAAAAGGGGAAGACCCTCTATGAGATGGATTGATTCGGTGACTGGGGTAATCGGGATGGGTGTGTCAGAAGCAGTGCGGTTGGAGCAGGATAGAGCAGGGTTTAGGGCTGTTGTGCATAGGGTCGCTATGAGTCGGAAACTACTCCACGGCACATAACAACAACAACAACAACAACCAAAACTCTGATTCAAGATTAGGGTCACACACACACACACACACACACACACACACACACACACACACACACTTTAAAATGACTTTAGGATAGACTGGAATAGAAAATAGCATGCAGTGTACTTGGCTAGAGTAATTCTTATGAACATTTCAGAGTGGAGTTTGTGTGTGTGTATAAGCATGCATTTGGGGCTACACATGGGTACAGTGTGTGATTGTGTGTGTACACGCATTTGTGCATGTGTGTGCATCCCTCATTTGTGGCTCTGCATAAATACAGTGTGTATGTGCATGCATGCATTCATGGGTACAATGTGTGTGTGCCTGTGCTTGTGTGCATATGTGCATGCATGCATTTATGGCTACAGTGTGCATGTGTATAATGGATTTGTGTTTGTATATACATGCATGCATGCATTTATGCGTACAGTGTGTGCACATGTGTTTGTGTGTGTACTTGCATGCATTTATGGGGGTGTGTACACGCTTTTGTGTGCATATGTGCATGCATGCATTTGTGGCTGTCCACGGGTACCCTAGCTAGGATTTGAATCCAGGTCTCCTACTTGGAAGGTGGGAATTTTGCTATGGAGCACTGCCCCATCAGGCACCGAGTAGGAACTCGCCCTCCAGGCAGATGATGCCAACCTCTCCTCCTCTTCTCCTCCCTGCAGGCCCTGGCCAGTCCCCCAGGACCCCATGAGGATGGCTGAAGCCCACTGGGCCAGTGGCGCTCCCCAGTGGCCGTGGTCCCTGTAGGGCCCTGAGGTGCGCGAGGAGGATGCACCTGTCAGCGGTGTTGAACGCGCTCCTGGTGTCGGTGCTGGCGGCCGTGCTGTGGAAGCATGTGCGCCTGCGCGAGCACGCGTCCTCGCTGGAGGAGGAGCTGGCGCTGAGCCGCCAGGCGGCCGAGGCGGGGCCGGCGCTGCGCATCGACTACCCGCAGGCGCTGCAGGTGCTGAGCGAGGGTGGCACGCACATGGTGTGCACGGGGCGCACGCACACCGACCGCGTGTGCCGCTTCCAGTGGCTGTGCTACTCCAACGAGGCCGACGAGTTCATCTTCTTCCACGGCAACGCCTCGGCCATGCTGCCCAACCTGGGCTCGCGGCGCTTCCAGCCGGCGCTGCTCGACCTGTCCACGGTGGAGGACCACAACACGCAGTACTTCAACTTCGTGGAGCTGCCCGCAGCCGCGCTGCGCTTCATGCCCAAGCCGGTGTTCGTGCCCGACGTGGCCCTGATCGCCAACCGCTTCAACCCGGACAACCTGATGCACGTCTTCCACGATGACCTGCTGCCCCTCTACTACACGCTGCGCCAGTTCCCGGGCCTGGCACAGGAGGCCCGCCTGTTCTTCATGGAGGGCTGGCCCGAGGGCGCGCACTTCGACCTCTACAAGCTGCTCAGCCCCAAGCAGCCGCTGCTCAAGGCGCAGCTCAAGACCTTCGGCCGGCTGCTGTGCTTTTCCCACGCCTTCGTGGGCCTGTCCAAGGTCACCACCTGGTACCAGTACGGCTTCGTCCAGCCCCAGGGCCCCAAGGCCAACATCCTCGTCTCCGGCACGGAGATCCGGCAGTTTGCCCAGTTCATGGCCGAGAAGCTGAACGTGAGCAGTTCGGGGCCCCCCTTGGGCGAGGAGTACATCCTGGTCTTCAGCCGCACCTTGAACAGACTCATCCTGAATGAGGCCGAGCTGCTGCTGGCGCTGGCGCAGGAGTTCCAGATGAAGACGGTGACAGTGTCCCTGGAGGACCACGCGTTCGCGGACGTGGTCCGCCTGGTCAGCAATGCCTCCATGCTGGTCAGCATGCACGGGGCCCAGCTGGTCACTGCCCTCTTCCTGCCCCGCGGGGCCACGGTGGTGGAGCTCTTCCCCTACGCCGTCAATCCCGACCACTACACCCCGTATAAGACGCTGGCCACGCTGCCCGGCATGGACCTCCAGTATGTCGCCTGGAGGAACACAGTGCCCGAGAACACGGTCACACATCCCGAGCGGCCCTGGGACCAGGGGGGCATCACCCACCTGGACCGGGCCGAGCAGGCGCGCATCCTGCAGAGCCGGGAAGTGCCCCGCCACCTCTGTTGCCGAAACCCCGAGTGGCTCTTCAGAATCTACCAGGACACCAGAGTGGACATCCCGTCCCTCATCCAGACCATTCGGCGGGTGGTGAAGGGCCGGCCGGGGCCGCGGAAGCAGAAGTGGACGGTCGGCCTGTATCCGGGGAAGGTGCGGGACGCGAGGTGCCAGACGTCGGTGCAGGGCGCGTCCGAGGCCCGCCTCACCGTGTCCTGGCAGATCCCGTGGAACCTCAAGTACCTGAAGGTGCGGGAGGTGAAGTACGAGGTGTGGCTGCAGGAACAGGGGGAGAACACCTACGTGCCTTACATCCTGGCCCTGCAGAACCACACGTTCACGGAAAACATCAAGCCCTTCACCACCTACCTGGTGTGGGTGCGCTGCATCTTCAACAAGATCCTCCTGGGACCCTTTGCAGATGTGCTGGTGTGCACCACGTAGCCAGCCGGCGGGGCCAGGCCCCGGGGGGTGGCACCTCCAGCTCACTGTCCTTGGGCCTGCCTGCCTCCCAGTCCCTCCCCAGCCTTGATGGCTTCCGAGAGTTAATTTATTTATTTATTTAGTGAGAAGGCCTGTTCTGGCCCGCCCGTGCCTCAGTGTCTCCGTTTGCATCTGGCCTGTGATGTTCACTGTTCTTTACTCTGGTGAGGTGGGACTCTTCCTTCGTCTTCCTCCTTCCCTGAGCATCTCAACATCTGCATTAGTTCCTTAAGGGGTAGGGTAGGGGGGCGGGGAGCAGAGGACGAGGAGCCCAGAATGTCTTTGGCTGAGTGTGCTGTTTCCTGCTGAGTCTCTCCAGTGGGTATCCAGGTCACTGGAAACTTAAGTGCTCAATCATGTGGTAGGTTGGGTCAGGTGGTTGATCACCTTCCATCATTCTGAAATTCACCTGTAGCCCAGGGAAGGGTGTGCTGGCAACATTCATTAAATGGTTATAAACATCTTGGTCAAGTCGTTTTCTTTGGAAGATTGGAAGGGCAGCTGGTGGTCAACACGCAGATGAAAGAACAAAACCATTAAGGCACTGCCCTCTCTTGGGCACTTCCTGTTTCAGAGACTTGTGCCCAAGTTGTCAATGGCTGTGACCTTCGGGAAGCAATTGCAAGCCCTTTCTTCAAAGGCACCTCTTAAGTGTGTATGGACTGCTAGCCTTTTGGTTCCCAGCCAGGCACTCGCATCACCCAGATACCCTTTAATTCCGGTTACCAACCAATGAGATGTGATGACAGGTCCCCTACAGGTGAGTGTCAGCGGCTGTGAAGCAGGCCCAGCTTGTTGGATTTCATCTCGATGTCTTCTTGTTGTTGTTGTTGTTATGTGCTGTTGAGTGACCTGTGACTCTTAATGACCCTGTGAACAATAGCTCTCTGAACCTGACCTTGTCCTGAACCAACCTCACCATCTCCAGCACACCTGCCCAGAGTCACACCATTGCCAGAGTCACTGGGTCAGTCCCATCTTGTTGAGGGTCTTCTCTTGTACTGACCTTCTCCCCTTCTGATAAATTAATACCACCTTTCCATGTAAGTGAGAAGCCTGGAAGTGGGCAGGGGCTATGGTGAGGGCCAGCTGTGTCCACCAGCGGTGGTTCTTACACTCAGCTGGACATTGAGGCTCAGAAGAGCTGCTTGGCCTCACTTGGTGTCAGGTTCTCTTAGAGGCACGTAAAGCCGGTGCTCAGCCTGCCAGGACCATGTCAAGCACTTGTCCTCGACATCAGCCCGCGGTCTGTGGCCGCCACATGTGAGCTGAGGCACACATCAGTCATTGTGAGGGCTTCCTGGTCATAGAAAGCCCTGACCCCTTTAGAGAACAGTATCTCGTATGCACCCGCAGTCAGAGTTCCTGGGTTTGCTGCCACCTCACTGGCCTCATAGTGCAAATATGCAGTTTTATCAATCAGGGTCATTCTTCCCATCGCGGGTTACCTGATACCGCACCGGGTCCTCAGCTTCTGTTATTTGGCTGCCATGGAAACTGAGCTAGAAAGTCAACCTGAGATCAAATCTCAGTACGTTCGAGGAAGAGAGTGAGTGTTAATCTTCACACAGAGACCCTGTTGCAGGGCTGGCTCCAGTGAAGGAGAAGGACAGAGAAGGGCAACTGAGTAGATAGTGTTTCAATTCTAAGGAAGTTTCACCACTGATCGGGAGGAGTTCTTGAACCAAAGCCGCCCATCTGAAGAGTATGGTCGTTGTCTGAGAGACTGGCAGATGTGGCTTTAGTCTCAATAGGGTGTCAGGTTCAAAGCACGACTGCACTGGACAGTCCCGCTAATGTGCTTTGTAGCAGGAGCTCTGAAGGGGCCATTGTCATGATCCCTCAGCTCCTCTGGGACATTCTTTTTGCCTGTAGTGCATTGTCCCCTGACTCCAACCTCTCCCTGTCACTGCAGACAGCCACGGGCATCCACACGTCAAGACTCAAAGCCTGAGTTCTCCCACACTGCTTGCGTTGGGGTAAAAAGTGGTGTGGCCACTTGGAATACCATTTTTACAAAAGCCACGTACTATGTTCTTGTTAGGTGGCCTTGACGACAGCTCATAGGAACGCTGTGGACAGTCTGATGGGACCCGTTCCTCTATCCTGTGCTGTATCCTCTCAGTCACTGCCACGCTCAGTCCGTGGTTGTGCCTGCCCTCTGCCTCACCAGCTCCTTGATACCTGCCCAAGGGAAAGGAGTGCTTATGTCACTTAAAAACCCAAACAAATACGAAACCACAGCCCTCTATAAGTGCCACTGAAGCGAGTATACCATGTAGTAACCCTGTTCTGTGCCATCCTCATCATTTCTGACATACTCGAGCCCATTGCTGCTGTCACTGTGTCATTCACCTGGCTGAGTGTCTTCGTCTCTGCCAGGCGTGATGTCTCTGCAAGGAACAGCCTCTCCTAGCAACATGCCCAAAGTATGTGAGACGAAGCTTTGTCGTCCTTGTCACTAAGGAGCATAGTGGCTGTACTTTCTCCAAGACACATCTCTGTTCTTTTTTTCCCCTTTAATTATTATTTTGTGTGTGTGTGTGTGTGTGTGTCTGTGTCTGTGTCTGTGTACCGTCAAATCAGATCTGACTGGTACAGGAGGAGATTGTCTCTCCTTTCCCAGCAGAGCATCTGGTGGATTCGAACCATGAGTCTCTGGGATTGCAGTGCAGCTTCTTGCCACTAGGCCACCAGAGCTCCCCATCTCTTTGTTCTTTTAGCAGTCTCTGCAAGTTCAGTGTTCTTCCAACAATGCCCATAGCTTCATTTGTGATTGTATGGTTAAACAGAGAACAAACATCTGCCATTTTAACCAGTTTTACAGGTATAAGTCATCGATATTCTCCATGTTCAGGGGCCTTTTTTTCCACCCTTAACAGAAAGTACCCCTTAGGCCTTCTTACTCCCCTCCTCTCTTCCACCCCAGAAACCACTAATAAACTTTGATCTCTATGCACTTGCCTCTTCTGTATATTTCATAGAAGTAATTGCTGCCCTATATGTCCTTTTCTATCTGACATAACTTGCTTCTTAGTAGCCCAAAACTAGGCAGCCCAAATGTCCAGCAACAGACAATATTCATAAAATGGACACAACACCACATGATGAATTACAGGTACAGACAACATGCGTGAATTTCCCAGACATAAATGGGATGCCAGGCCCAAAAGTATAGGCACTGTCTGATTCAACTCCTATACAAACCAAGAACAAGAAAATGCTTACAGTGGTGGTAAAGTCACTGTTACTGGATTTGACACCAAACACATAAAACTTTTGTATCTAGAGAGTCCGGGCCGTGTGTTACTATTACCAACTCATCCAGCTTAGCTTGGAAGATAGAGGGTAAGTGCAAGAGAAAGACCCTGGATGAGAAGGATTGACATTGGCTGTGGCAATGGATTCAGGAGTGTTGGAGATGGTGAGGTTGGCTGTGGAGAGGGTAAGATTTGGATCCATTACTTATAAGGTCACTATGAGTTATAGTCGACTCGATGGCACATAACAACCACCAGCTTGGAATAGCCCCGTTTGGGTGAGGTGGGCATGGGCATGTGTCCTGGGGGGCTGGTGACCATGGTCCCCCTGGCAGCAGCCCTCACGGCCTCTTAAGGCTGAATTTGCCTGAAGCTGAGCAGATGCCGCAGTACAGACCCTGCCTCACACACGTCTTAGGAAGGTCTCAGTTCACTGCCTAGTTCTTTGCTTCAAGGCACATTATTCTCATTGCAGGGGTAATGGCGGAGGGGCAAGTCGAGGAAGACAGAGGGGAAACAGCCAGCACTGGGGCTGAAAGAATTTTCTGAAAAGGATAAAAAGTGGATGAAATTTCAGGTTTGCAATCAAGGCACAGTTAATAATAGCTGGAGCAGACTTACCAGGCAGGCGGCCAGGGCAGGGAGCCTCGGGCCTCTCGGTGTACTGCTCCACATTCCAGGGCACTGGCCCTGCCGTCTCACAGCTGCCTGTCCAAGGCAGAGAAACAGCTGCGGAGGGGATCGAGGCACCTTTTAGTGGAGATCCTTGGGTTCAGGGATGGCGGCCTGTTAGTACAATTCCTGCCTCGGTTTGAATTCTAGCCACCTCCACCTGGGCCACCTTGGGGAGCTGACTTCACTCACCTGAAACAGGGAGGGGGAAAGGCCAACAGGTGGAAATTTTGGAAAATCTGGCCATTGAAGAGCAGTGTGTTGGGGTTCTGTGCCCTTGCATGCAGCCTGTTCCCGCTGAGTTCAGCAGCCTTCAGCCTGGGAGCCCCATGAACCTTGGGCAGGGGGGTTAGGTGGGGAGCTTAGTGCTCCAAGGGGACAGAGAGGCCAACTGTGAGGGCAGCATCCAAAGGGGGCATTTGTGCTGGGCAGGGAGAGGTGGATCCTTGTGCCATGTGCTTTACATGGACTGGACAGGAAGAAACCTCTCAATGTCAGCTCACATCACCCACTGTGCTGTGCGGACATGCTCCTGTCAGGACACAGCAATGCTTAGTGGAAGTCAGAATCTTGTTCCTTTACAGGAAGAGCCTGACTTCATATTTCAGAGAGAAACCACACACACACATCCCCACCTGCTGGGAGGCCTTCCCCTTTCCCGGGGGCCATCCATGCCAATGTTAAGGCAATCCAGTGTTAGGGTGGGACTCACCTGCTCGACCCCGAGTTCCGAGCCAGCCACGCTCACCTCCATCGCCTACCTTTATTCCATCCTCACAGCGGTGTGGACTGGAAATGAATGACCACCAGGGTGAGATCAGAGGCCATTTGTTTGGAGTTTTTTGTGACAAAGGTGTCAGCTGCCAACACTGTGGTGGCCAAGACTCAACACAGCAGAAAGGGGGGAGCTTTGTAGGGAAAGCCGGCAAAGGCCTCGGCTGTGCCCTGGTTGGGGGGTGTTGGCAAAGGGAAGCTGGAGGTGAGCTAAACAGAAGTAGAGCATCCTGGGCAGTTAGTCCGCATACCTGCCACACCAACTCAGTCCCACTTACTATGACCCGGAAGGACCGAGTATAACTAACTGTCCCCTAAGGTTTCCATGGGTATAGTATTTACAGAAGAATCCGTGGTGGCACAGTGAAGTACATGTTGGGATGAAGTCAAATCCACCAGTCATTCACTGCACAGGATAAAGGTCAGTCTCCTTCTATGAAGATTTACCACCTCAGAAACTCACTGGAGGGTCCCCGTGGATCAGGACTGACACCACAGGGTTTGGTAATCTTTACAGGCTTAGGGACTCATCTTTCATGAAGTAGCATGTGGGTGGGAACCCACATTAAAGCCACACGCTTACACTTTGGACCCCGAGGGCCTCTCGTGTGGTTGTTTAGAGGAGCGTGTTTGACTTTTCTCTGATTGGTTCAAGGTTGGAAGCAGAGCAAAGGGTTGTAAAAAGTGTGGGAAGCTGGTGGCTGCTGAGCTCTCCGACCAAGTTGCAGCCGTTCTGGGTCGTCCACTGTGGAAGCTTGGCGTGGCTTCCTGGGCATAAAGAATTGAGCTAATTCTGCCTCCTGCTGAGAGACCGAGTACACAAATGGACGATGACCAGGCCTCTGTGACAATAGCGCTGAGTCACAGTTTGCCCAGGAGGCCAAGCCATCGCCAATGAAAAAACGGCTGAGTGAGATCTGAAAATTGAAAGACGATCAAAGCAAAATCCCAGGTTTTTGTTCTGTTGTGCACTGGCTGTGAGTCAGATCCCGAGTCAGGACCGGCTTGCCAGCACCTAACGGCGACAAAGACGAAACGTGAGGGTTTCATTTCTTCCACCTGGTCGCTTTCCACCTGTGTGGTCCTGAGCCACAAGCACAGCGATGCGATGGTGCTAATTCTCACAGATGTGGACAGCCCTGTGCACACGCCACGCACAGCTCCACAGCGCTGCACACACTTTCACACTTGACACACACGTATAAACACACACAGCTCACAGCTCTGCACACACCTTCACACACACGTATACACACACACAGAGCTACACAGCTCTGCACACACCTTCACGCTTTACATGCACGTATACACCCACACGCAGCTTCGCAGCTCTGCACGCACCTCCACACTTAACACACATGTACACACACAGCTCACAGTTCCGCATGTCCCTATACACACACAGAGCTCTGCACCTCTGCATAAACCTTCACACTTTACACACATGTATACACACACAGCTCCATACCTCTGAACACTCCTCTACACCCCTACTCACACACTTTACACATACCTACTCACCTCTGCACACTTTCACACCTCTACACATACTGCCACATCTCTATACACCTACAAACCTTTACACGACTCCACACTACACACCCCTCCCCATCTCTACATGCCTACATACCTCTACACACACCTCCACATCTCTATACATACCTGCATATTTCTATATACACCTTCATACTTTAAACACACCTCCACATCTCTATATGTACCTGCATATTTCTATATACACCTTCATACTTTACACACACCTCCACAACTCAACATGTCTCCACACCTCTACACATGCACACACACACCCCCTCTGCCTGCACACCTCTTCAACTGCATGCCTCTGCACATCCATACACCTGCCCACCTCTACACACCTGCACCCCCTGCACACATACACACACCTCTACATACACAGTGGCCCAGATTTGTGCATGCTTATGGATTGCACAATTACACAGGATCTTGAGCAGTTGACAGAACTTTCTTGAAAGTGTTTATTGGTGCCCGGCAGTCAGCATCAGAGCTGAGAAGCACACCACACAGGGATTCCCGTTCCGAATGCAGTGAGAGTATACCCCATCACCTGCCCCACCTCCCGCCCCAGGCAGGTGGCACATCAGGACAGCACGGCACCCTCTGGTTTCCGGCTCCCCCCGTTTGTCTTCAAGATGGGAGAGCACAGTCAAGCTTGGCCACCGGGGGGCGGGGTGGGGTGTCTTCATCTCAGGGTCGTGCTGGGAAGCAGCTGGTGGGCCGTGGTGGGATCTCAGGGGTCCTCATCCCTGAAGAGGGTCAGCTTGTGCACCCGGATGTGCTCCAGCAGGGCCCGTCCCCGCCGCTGCAGGGTCTGGAGGACCGGCTCCAGGCCCTGGGCCCCGCCCTGGCTTTCCCAGAACACCGGGTCCGTCCGCAGTGACTTGAGCAGTATGTTCTGTAGACACCCTGATGTGAGCACCTTCACAGCCGACTCGGGAAACCTGGGGGCGCAGCCCAGAACCCCCAAACAGAGAGAGCAAAAGTGACCTCAGAGTTCCAGAGAAAAGCAAAGCACACGGCCAGGACTTCTACACCCAGGAACCCTGGCAAGGCCACCTTCGAAGTTCTCCCAGGCCCCCCACCCACTGTGTGGCTAGCAGGGACCCCTTTGCCCCACATTACTGTGAACACAGGGAGGTAGAGCTTTAGATGGTCCTGCCCCTCAGAGAAGCCGGGAACCCAGCTCTGTCGCCCAGTGCAGTGCCCGCTGCTCTCAGTGGCAAAGGCAGGACCAGCAGGGTTAGGGGAGCGCAGGGCCTAGGCCAGCACCCCTCCCCTGTCAGGCTGTCCTTACACCCGGTCTCAGGGGCAAGAAGTCTTCCACATTGTGGAGACCAGGGGCTCCATCAGGGGGTGGGGATGGGGGTCTTCTACAGGCTGCACCCTCTTCCACTTTCCCAAGGCCTCTCAGCCCCATTTCCAATCTCAGCACAGCAGGGCCATTAAGCCTCAGTCCTGTGAACCTTCAGCTCCACCCAGCCCTTCTCTCTCCCTCTCCATGCCTCGGAACCTCACCCATCTATGCCCTCCAGCAGCCGGAAGTTCAGCTTGTCTTCTGGGTGATGAAGGTTTCCAGCATTATCGATGTAGACCAGATGAGATGGGTTGCTGCTCCGGACCTCAGGAAAGAAGGCAAACAGACAAGGGTGAGGTTACAGCAGGAATGTCGCTGGGGATTCTGGGAGGACTAAGTGGTTGTAGGGGAGAGGGAAGGGGCCTGAGCTGTCAGCCCCACAGTCCATCCTGCTACTGCCCAGGTGGCCTCAGTGCCCTGGGCCCTCACTCTCTCCTGGACACTGGGCCAAGTGCCCCCACGTATCTTCTCAATGAATCCTCTCAACAACCTCATGATGTGGGCATTGAAATTCACTCATTTCTGTTGAGTCAGAACCATCTCATAGTTGACCTTCTGTTGAGTTTCTGAGGCTGTAAATCACACAGGAGACTGCCCATCTTTCTCCCAAGGAGCAGCTGGTGGATATGAATCCCCAGAGAGACTATGCAGCCTTTGGCTTTGCAGTGTATCTCCCCATGGACTACGCCACTCACGTTAGAGGTAGCCTCAGGGTAGTGCGGTGGAGGTTCGAAGGAGTTAGACAGTCTATACACAATCACTCGGCTAATCAGTAGCTGCGATCACTGCACATCTGCACCGTAGTTCTAAGTCACAGCACCATCGTGACAAGGCAGAGGGCCTGGTCCTGTGCTGGTTAGGATGATAAGCCAGTCTCCCCTGTTTTCCACATCAAGAGGCGGCTGGAGGGGTGAGGAGCCTGGGCAGGGATCCACAAGTGCAGAGTCACTGGTCACTGGGACCCTGGAGCTGACGGCCACCTCCAGAAGCAGCTGGCCAGAGCAGGGAAGCAGGACTCGCCCCAGGAGAGTAGGGTGGGATCTCCCCAGGGGTAGCACCTTGCTTCTTGTGATGGAGAAGTGACCATGTGACCGCACCAGCCCCTCTCTGATGACCTCAGCACTTAATGTCGAACCAAACCTCAAACCCAAGGATTCCATGGAGTCTCTTGGGGGCTACAGGGCTGTGGAGACTGTAGAAATGGTTTCAGACCCCCATCCCTGACCTCAACTCAACCCTGTTCCCAAGCTCCACTTTTGTCCATTTCCTTCTCCAAGGAGGGGTAATGGCCCAAGAGAACTGGATCTGAAACCCCAGCATCAGATGATCTGTGAAATCAGCCACTGTGGTTGTGAAGGAGACAGGAGACTTTGGCCGGGTCGACAAGCACCCAGAGGAGCAGACGTACCAGGATGTGAACCAGCCGCAGCTCAGCCGGGTTCCGGCACTTCTCCCGGAGCCTCTCTTCCACGCAGGGGTCCAAGGGCTCAGGCTCAAAGCCGCAGCAGTAGCGATCCAGGCGGTCATGGACCTGTGGGGACACGTAACCTCTGATTGGGTGTGGCGTGAGGGGTCTGTGTCCACCAGAGCCAGCGCCAAGGCTACCTGGTGTGTTGCATCGTGGGGTCTCAGAGCCACACCTCCACCCACTCAGGGCCCCTAGGGGCTGGGACAGTCCCTAGTGACTGCTCCGGTCAGCTCTGTCACTGACCTCTAGCTAATAATGGGACCTCTGCTTTGCTCCACCAGCCAGCTCACCCTGTGCGCCAGTAGCTGCCCACTGGGACCTCTGCTTTGCTCCACCAGCCAGCTCACCCTGTGCGCCAGTAGCTGCCCACTGCCCTCTCAGGCCAGTGTGAGTGCCTGCCTTAAATGATCCCACTGTTCCTGAGCTCAGACCAGAAGCCCTGGAAGCCCAGATGCCAGCCATCTGTCCTGGGAAAACAGGCACAGGACGCTACTTTTCATTTAAGCCCCAAATGCTTCATCTGGCATTCCTCCCTTCTTCAGAGAGAAAAGCCCTTTACAATAGCCCGGACAGCTCTTGCAGACCTGAAAGCAGCACCAGATCTCCTCTCCTCTCCTCCCCTCTCTCCACAGGGTGCTCCAGAGGGGTTTTAAGGGCTAGTTTTCCAGGCCTTTCTTCCAAGGCACTCCTAAGTGTCATCTATACCCATATAGGCTCTAGGACACATCTAGCAAGGTGACATGTACAAACTGCTTGCATTTTGCTTTATGTCTGATTCACAGCTTGCCCAACCACCCTCGTCCCAACAAACCCTCCCTGAGTTTGTTCCCAGCCAGGCTGCACAGAGATTTCACCTTGCAGCAGTGTTTATTTCCAGAAGGAGCCAAAAGGAATCTGGGTTCGTACCATACTGCATCAACTCCCCAAACCTACTCCCATCTGAAGTCGATTTAACAGGATGGGCCTGGCCAGGCACAGCTGCCAGCTGGATTATTTTGCCATGCTGTCTGGCTTTTTTTTTTCCACTGAAGAGAAATTCCGTTTAGACAGCAGCGTACCGGCAGCCAAAAGAAACCGAGCTTAGGTTTCATCTCCAAACTCCATCAGAATTTTATTCTTTTCCTCCTTTTTGGAAAATCAAGAATCTGCTGAGAAAGAAAATGGTCATCTTTGGCAATCTTGCTTTTCTGTTCCAGCCTAGAGATACTGCATAATGACAACACCGAAGTTTTTGCTTATTTTTAAATTAAGCAATTGCAAAGACATGCCCCACTGTGCTGTGCACCACTGTAAATTAGAACCATATAATTCCTGTAGCAGCCAGCAGCTAGGTTCCATGATTGCCCCATTTCAAAGATGATAAAGCTGAGTCACAGAGGCCGAGTAATTAATGTGTGTGCCCTACGTCACACAGTTAGAAAGTGCTGTGGCTGTGTTTGAACCCAGGCAGTCTGGCTCTCAACCGCTAGTCAGACCATTCAGCAGGCATTGTGGTACCTTTGGTATCAGAGACTGCAGACTCCTTGATGGCAAAGATGAAGACTTGATTCAGTCTGACCCCCAGAGTCCAGCACATAATTAGAAAATGTAGAGACTTCACTGGGAGGTTTGGATCTATGAATGATGTGATGGGCTGACAGGAGGAGGGAAATACTGACATCTTGTACACAGGGTCGCTATGAGTTGCAGGCGACTCAACGACGGCACATAAACAACAAACATGAGGACAAGGGAGCTTTGGTGGCCTCGCCCTTAAGGAATTGTGTTCCTAACCCAAAGATCATGCTTCTCTGGCGCTTCAAATTCCTCAGCGGTTCCTCAGGAGGAAGAGGAGCAATCTCCTCCTGCGTGATTTGAAAAGCAACCTAGAGTCAGCTATGAGTTGTTTACGACTTGAAAGTAACACGTGAATGAGGGTTGCGTGAGGACTGTGGCCGCTGAAACCACAGCACCTCAGCTCCTTGGCCGGGATGTCAACACCAGAAGGCATCAGGGGAAGGCGTGGCTCTGTGGCCGCCCAAACAGGACACCTGAGTGGGACAAGTCATTGCAGTGTGGTGAGGCTTCAGAGCCAGCTGTGCAGAAGGGATTATTTAAGCCCTCTAGACAGAACCCCTTGGAAGCAGGAGTGACATCCACTTCAGTAATAGCTTGCCTCCGGAAACCCTATGAACCTGGAGAGAGGATGAAAGACACACAAGCGTTGAGGACTCTCCTTCATAGGGTCGCTATGAGTTGCCTGCAACTCAACTCTACGGCACTTAACAACAACAACAACCGGAAGACCCCCCCCAAGTTCCTAGGCCAGGATGATCTCCTCAGCCGCGTACCAGGTGCCTGAGGAGGCTCTCCTAGATTCCAGGAGACCCACCTGCTGTTCCTGGTGGGCCGCACCCCCAGTGCAGGGACCCTCTCCAGAGCTGAATCAGCTGCAGGCCCGGGCCTTTCTGGGTGGGAAGGATGGCGCTGGACTAGAGCAGGCTTCTTGCTGGGGACAGAGTGGCTGGAGCCAGAAAGGAGCCTAGACTCCTCCCCCACCTCAGCATCTCCTTCCATGGAGGGCAGCGGAACCTCCTCGTTGGTTGACTTGCTGTAGGGGGTGTGATGTGTGAGGGTAAATAGGGCCCTCAGCCCTGGGTCCCATCCTGCCCTGAGGACTCACCCCACGGAGCCCTCCAGGCCCACCCTAAGGGCAGCCTTCTCGGGAGGCTCCAGAGAAGGAACCTCTGCGCCTCCTTCTTTGCTCAAGCCTGATGCCAACGAACGAGCTTGGACTTGCGTGAATAGGCTGACCTCTGGGCTTTGAAGAGCTGACCTGCAGCTAGAACTCATTTTGGAGCCCTGGTGGCAGAACACGTAAGCTCTCGGCTGCGAACTGGCCTGTTGCAGTTCAGACCCACCCAGTGGCTCCACGGAAGAAAGGTCTGGCATTCTGCTGCCATGGAGCCTGGGAAACCCTGTGAGGTTGGTCTACTCTCTACATGGGGTCGGTTGCGAGCCAGAATGGACCCACGGCACCTCCCAACCACAGAGCTGCTTTAAAAAGACACCTAAGGGCACTCAGTTTTGACCCGCTGCATCCTAAACCAGCTGTGTCACCAAAGCCAAGTAGGTTCCAACCGGAAGCAGGACGAGTCGCCATTGCAATGCCTTCAAAGGGAGCTCTGGTGGCCTAGTGGCAAGAAGCTGCACTGCAATCCCATAAGTATGCAGTTCGAATCCACCAGATGCTCTGCTGGAGAAGGAGGGACCAGTCAGATCCGATTTGATGGTACACACAAAAATTAATAAGAAAAAAAAAGAAATGCCTTCAGAAAACCTCCCCGTCTAGCATATCACAGGGCAAAGTAGCAGGATCTCCCGCGTGGCTATTCGAAAGACACTTGATAAACCCAAAGCTATTGCCATCAAATCTATTCTGATTCACAGCTACCCTGCAGGGCACCAATGAACTGCCCATAAGACTGCCAGAGCGATAAATCTTTGTTCTTTGCAGGACCCAACTGCTTTGCCTTTCTCCCATGGGGCAGTTAGTGCGTGAGTTTGAACTACTAACCTTTTGATTAGAGCTCAACTTCTTTAACCACTGCACCACCAGGGCTCCTTGGGCATTTGATGAAATGATACATTTTGTTCATTTCTGACTTGGTGGTTGTTGTTCTTATGCACCATTGAGTTGCTTGTGACTCATAGCAATCCTCTGTATGAGAGCCCTAAACCTTGCTCTGTTCTGTGCCAACCTCTGTCTCTGACACACCTACTCCCATTTCCCCAGTCACTGAATCGATCTATCTCCTCGAAGGTCTTCCTCTCTTGCACTGTCCCTCTACTCCCCCAAATATGGCGTCCCTCTCCAAGGACCTGTCCCTCCTTGCAACATGCCCAAACAGTAAATCAGGAATAATGACTAGGTCTGTATCATCAGTTCAGTCAAAAGCCAGAGGGATGTTTAATTGGTGACCCATTAGAAACAGTCCCAAGATAGTAAAATGGTGCAACCATTCTGGAAAGCAGTTTGGCGCTTCCACAAAAAGCTGAACATAGAAATTTCATATGACCCAGCTATTCCACTACTTGGCATATACCCTGAGAATATGAGAACTGAGGCACAAACTGAGATTTGTACACCAACGTTTAAAGCAGCATTATTCACCATCGCAAGAACATGGAGACAGCCCAAATGTCCAAGCACAAATGAATGGACTGAGAATTTATGGTACATTCACACAATGGAATACTATGCAGCACACCGGAGCAATAACTTTGTAAATTATTACATAACTGGGGAGGGACTGGAGAGCATTATGCTGAGTGAACTAACTCAGTCCCACAAGGATAAATATTGCATAAGACCATTATTGTAGAAGGAGTATAAGGATCCAGGAGGGGTGGGAGAGGCTGGAAGCAGAGGGATGTGGATGTGCAGGGAATCAGTATGTTGTACAATTTGATTAGGGGGGGGTGAGGGAAACTGGAAGAATTTATTCAAATTTGTATTTGAATTTTGTAAATAAACTAGTGAAAAAAGAAATAGCCCCAAAATGATAAGCAATGCGTCCATCACCCCTTTGATATTTAATATTCATCTGGAGGCTCCAGGTAGTGTAATGAGAAAGAAAAAGAGAAGATAAAACCCAGTAGTACTCATTGTAGATGAAATTGAGGTACACCTGAAAAATCCTAATAAACTGAACAACTGTTAGGAGCGATATACATTTAGAAAGGTAGTTGGCAATGAAGTTAACATGCAGAAATAATACAGGGAAAAGGAGTTCTGGTGGCACAGTGCACAGCGTGGAGTGCAGCTAACCAGAGCATTGGTGGTTTGAATCCCTCAGTGTCTCCATGGGGAAAAGACGCACCATTTCCTCCCATGGGCACTTACAGCCTCAGAAATGCAATGGAGGAAGGCCGGGATTCGGAGCTGACTCGGAAGCAGGGGATAGTCGGGAATGGAGGTATAGCTAGCAATGCTGAGTTCCCTCCCGTCACCTCTACCACCTGGCAGCCCCCCTGTGCATGAAGCAGAGCTGCCCCCCAGGTTTCTCAAGGCTGCAGCCTTT